TAATATTGTTTGTGACAACTACCTGGAACAGATTTTTGGTACAAAACGTATGCGTTTCATGGAAATTCCGCAACGTCTGCAGAATTTGCTGCATCAGCCCGACCCGCTGGTTCTTCATCATACCATAAAACACAACGAAGGAAGCGACAAAAATACTGTTTGCTATGACATTGGTTTGTTTCGTTTAGTTGTCTGCTGTGAGTTCTGTGAGCTCAGAATTTGCACTTTTTTTTGGAAAATAATCCAGAAATTTTTGATTGAGGATCCGTATAATATTCGGAAGTTTTACTGAGAGAAGACAATTTCATTCACAATTTCACTGCTGCCTGAGCCGCCTTCCAATTTTTGTGCTGTGTTCGACAGAAAGAACCATTTTTTTAAGGAGGGAATAAATTCTCATTCTGTTACTGCTTTCTTCCCTAAAAGCCGTTTTCCATCCGATCTCGCTAATAAATAAGCCTATTGTGTACACAGTGAGAAGGATGCTGTACTGATGATTCCCATTTCTACTCGCACTCATTTCTCCACCTACTTTTACAGCTAGGAAGTGAAATTTTGGACTCTTTACATGCATATTTATTTGGGGCATGGGATAAATTCAATCCTTGCTAATCATATATTTCACTGCATATTTTTTATATTATTTAGATGTGGAAATGGAAGATCCGCTGAAGGCGCAGATGACATCGTTCCTTCACAGCCATGCAAATATGCCGGATATCAGTGCATTGGATCAAAAAATTTTTGATATTGTGGAACAGATCAATGAATGGAAACTTCGACGAGATTTCTACGTTCGGTTTGCGGACAGCCCACAGGAATTCATACGCAAATGGCTTATTTCTCAGAGCAGTGATTTAAAGGTAGAGATTAACTTCTCCATATATGTATGTATTTATTTACTTATGGCTGGTTAAGATGGTAGTAAAAACATGCTTCTTGTTCAGTTAGGGATGGGAATCCTAAATTTTTCGCTTTTTTAGTGATTTAATATTTTTAGTGGGGGAGGCAGCT